GCGCGTGCTCCGGCGGCGGCTCCAGGTCCTCGTTGGAGAGCTCCTTCCACTGCTCCTTCGCGGGAGGAAACAGCCCGGTGAACCTCCTCTAGCTGAGCATTTCCTTAAGGCAAGCTACTCTAACTTTTAACTTTATATTTGAGTTTGGAATTTGTTTTTAGGGTGAATGTTCATATACGTTGAAAAAGAAAAAACATAAAAATAAATCTAATCCTCGAAGTGGAATATATAGACCTCAGCCACATATAGAAGAGATTAGCTACAAATGTGAGAAAATTTAATCTGCTTCTACATGAAACTTTAGCACAAAATTGAGCCTGTGTTGTTAGGGTTCTGTCTACCATAAATTAAACACAGAGAATTTAAATCACAATACTTAAAATTGTGGCATCTTAGAAAATTGCTGTTATCCAAAAGGGGGCCAAGCTGATGAAGCCAGCGTACACCTTGATGAGAGCCCTGAGAGGCACCTCTTAACCTAGGGGCCAGCTCATGTACCACAGGGCTACAAGTTCTTTTATGAAGAAATCACACAGTAAAGCATGTCTTGTGTTTAAGACCCCCATGTAATAAAATTTTATTCATGTTCAAACAAGCAAAAAATTCCAAGTTTCATTCTATCCTGCCCATGCCAGAAAATGTTTGTTAGAGTCAAAAGAGAGTTGGGGCTTACTGCAACAGTGCGTGCAGTCAAGAATACTCACTTGCACCGAAGCGTCTCCCATGATGAATTTTGCCCCTTCGATAACAGCTAAGTAAGAGAAGCGAAGCTGATCTGCTGTCTGGATGAGGCCCATTCGGTACTTCCGCATCTCCAGAAGAACCTGCTTAACGTCCACTGAAGAAGGATCTTTTCTTTTGTCCATCTAAAGAGAAAAATTGGAAAGACGCTTTATGCTCTGATGAGATCCAATACAATTACTCATTCTGTAGCACAGAACTAATGAATTAATAAAAAGTTGGTATCAGCTATGCATCCGTTTCTAAGAAGACAGAGATCCAGCGCTTCACTGGATCTCCAAGATCTTGTCATTATTTCCTTTTGATTTTCTTTTTGAAATAAAGGCAAACATTTTAACCTAGGCATGACTTCTGTGCATCAGCTGCTCTTACAGAGTAACAGTGAAGGTTTCCCAATCAGGACAGCATCCCCCTGCCTACAGGGAAAGCTGACTTTGTAAAGGGAAGCTCATTAGTGTACCAGATGGTTCACACTGTTCCTTATTCCAAATCAAACCTGACTTTTTCGTGACTAAGAGGGCAAAGTCTCTCTTTGCAGGACACTCTGTTACTAGAGACTTTTCTTCCCCATGCTCAGAATGACCTGGTAAGCGAGCGCGCTGCCTCGGCTTTCCAAGGGAATTCTCCTGTCCGAACTGCCAGAACTGAGTGAAATAACAACGTGCAACACGACTCCACAGAAAACGCTGCAGCTCCTTGGAAGTGACCAACAAACCACCCCTCCACTAACTGCAGAAAGAGCATTTCTCCAGCGTGAGGATAAGCAGTTCTTACCAGCAACAGACACGTATCGACCAAGCAAAAAGTCCCCGACCTCCCGATTCCTGCACTGCAGTGCACAACAACAGGTCCGTGCTCGGGGCTGAGAGACCCAGACTCTCTCACTTTGAACAGGAAATTGAGGAATGAAGCAGGTGACTCTGGAACTCCAAAGTCAGGCCACGTAGTATAGTGAAAGTGCAGAATCTCTCTTGTTCCGTGTGTCTGTAAGAGAAGGTATTGATGAAACCTCTTAGCCTGGAAATAAGAGTCAAGGACTATTCAAAGCACACTTCTCTACAACGAAGTTCTAATGAGCAAATTCCATTCCTAGCATGTTCATTTTTCTTGCAAATAATCTCTTTAACTTATCTGTCATGGTTGGGCATTTTTAGCTTTATGTCAATTTCATATTTATTCATTTGGAAAAACTGTAGCCACTTCCTTTCAAAATAACCCTGTGATTTTTATGGAACGGAGGGGTGTGCGTGCACAGCTTTTTATGACATTCATGCTGAATTACTTCCTCTCACAAACTGCATTACAGGAACCTACTTCAGAACAGCTGACTTTTAAATTCAAATGACAAAGTTCCTCTAGTCTAAGATAGCTTTTTATAGCTAAGAGACTATCTTGTGTTTGCTGTGAAATTCTCAGTATTCTGAGCAAAGGAAATGAGATATGTAAATTTACATATGTATAACATGCTTTAATTTTTTCAGCACTGTTAAAATGCTCTTATCAACACCAGATAGCCAGCTCTATCCGGGGCCTGCCAGTTTCCAATGGCAGAATATCATCCGAGCATTTCTCAAAATGAAGTACCTCAAGCCACACAAGCCCTTTGCCATTGCTGAGAGCAAAAACCCTTCCCTGTCACAGCCGTTTCTTTAAGACCTTGTTCCCTGCTTAACACTTTCTTCCAAGATTACTAAGCCCCTGGTGCTTACACGGCCCGAGAATCCCCAGCCACAGCTTTAAAATACACGTCTGTGGCAAACACCGTATTGAAGTCACACCGCAAACTACAACCACCGAATTCTTACTCACTCAGGTACAATTTGGCCGGTGAAATGAGTAACCCCGAACTGTTTCACACTTCCTAGCAAGCACGTTGTGAGTGTGGGAGGCGAGGAGGAGCCCTGAGGAATCCCTGCGCGCTGGCAGCGCAGCAGCGAGCGGCGCGACCCTCCCAGCAAACCCACGGCACAAAGGCTGAAGACTTAGAACAAGACAGAGTCAAACTGCAACTGGTAGAGTAAGTGACTGGAACAGCAACTATTTGAGACCCCACGCTGCCACACGCTAACCTCGCCAAGTCTCTGTATTCACATCTCTGTCCGTAGACTCAAGTGTTTCCAAACTTATTTCAAAAACATTTAGAATTTCATTCCCACAATGCAAATTGGAGGCTACAGAATAATCTCAAGCGGGATTACTGTATCTACAACAAAATCTGCTGGAATTGATGGTTGTCCCTTTGTTATGGGGAGCTGACTCCCCCCTCCAAGAAGTTAAGGGATCTGGTTGGTGGCAGTGTCTGCACTTACCGTAAGGTTTTCCAATTCTAGCTGTCGTACTGTGTAATATGATTTTATATCTTCCGATATCAAGGTTAGTTTCAAGTTTGTATCTTCAAAAAACATTTCTTTCTCTTCCTTCTGTGGCCAGTACTGTGCACATTTTATCTAAAAATAAACAGGAACAATTTATATATATCACTTATGTTTGTGTAAAAGGAAAAGTAGGAAGTGTTCATAAATACAACATTTTCTCATATGGCAATTTCATGATCTGCCTTTATTATAAGAAGCGATTCTAGTGCGAGGGATATCAGTGTTCTTATATATTGCAGCGCCACGTCCTCAGTGAACCTTCCCTATATGTCAGATTATCTTGAACCTGACTGAACTCATGAAATACCCACAGCTCAAGGGCAGTTTTGGGCAGGTAGAAATCTGTTTATTCCACGTGCGAGCTGAAAGTGTGTGCAGCTGACCAGCACCAATACAGAATCCAGTCAAAATCACCAGAAATGCTTTTTATTTTGGCCTGTGTCAACTAATAATAATACCAACAAAATATAACAACTTCTAAATATAAAAGCTACCAGAACAGTCCGCTGAAATCAGAATTTTAGTCTACTCAGCATTTTATATATATATTATCCTCATGTTAAATAGTTAAACATTTCAAAAGAAAGGATAAATGTTAACAAGAATAAGAGCAGAATATACAGAACAGTATGAAAAGGGATTATTAATTCAACTGCTAAGCTATAAACTGAGAATTACAATGTAATTCTAATTTGCAAGTGTAATGCTTGATGAGATTTTGGGTTACTCCATTCACTCACCCCAAAGTGATGAAAAAAGCATTGAGATCACCTTACACATGACACAGTTTATAAGTAAAGTGCCAAACAGAAATGCTGTAATCAACAAACATCCCTGTCACCTGCTTCTCACTGAATTTCGACGTTCTCAGTGTCGCGTTTTTCTCAGTGCATTTAGTTTTGCATTAAGGCTGATAAATGCTGGAATCTTAAATGAGTCAAGCAAATAGGAAAGTAACACATTTTTCCCATTATGGGAAAAAAACAAAACTAAAACTCTTCAGCGACACAAATAGGAAACTCTGCAACACGGAGTCTGACCGTTCACCCTAAGGGTGTTGTGGCTATGACAGCTGGGCTGCTACTTCTGCATTCATTCCCTGCTCCTCTGAAATGGAATTAAGACCAGCACTTGAGCAGACCTAAACTTCCAACAGGAATGAATTGCTGCTCCTCGGTAACGCTTCTTACATCAAACTGCAAATAATAGGTCTTCAAGGGGAAAAAAACATGAGAACAAGAAAATTGATTATTATGTAGTTTGATTACCTAAGTGCCGTTCTGCATATAATGGGAGCAGAGATGAAATAGAATAGTATTCTCACCTCCAAGTACTTCTTATGGCATTAAAAAAAAAAAAGCTTTTTATTCTTAGGTAGGCCAAGTAATTTCATTCCATTCTTTCAAGTTCAGATAAACCAGTGCCTAGACTTACTCTGGCTCTAATTCTGTCCTGCAGTTTGTTAGTCACAACCCAGACAATCCTCTGTGCTTTTCTGTATTAATGTTTAAGAGACAGCAATTGGCTGCGTGTCTAATTTCTCCACCAAATGTGTCTGCAAACAATATTCTGTTGAGCTTCACTGTAGGTCCCCCATTGCTGTTTGCTGCCTGCCCTAAAGGATCACAATAATTCGTTTTGTTCAAGACTACTGGCAGTGAAGAGAATGAGTGGGAATGGTTGGAAAGGAAGAAGCTATTGAAAAATATGGTTACTGCACCTCTTTTGAAGATTAAGTTTCACTTACACTACAAAAAAAAAGCAGAACACTCACAATCAAGGCTGCAGTTTGTTAAAATATAACTCACTGCCCAAGAATTTTCCTGATTATTGGAAATTCCTGATTGCACAAAAGCACACACCACCCAGTTATCACTGGCGGATACGCAACAGGCCAATACCCATCCTCTGAAATGTCTCATACTGCAACAGTCAACCTAAAATTATACATGTCTATCAGTTTTTAAAATCACTTTTGTCTTGAATTTGCACGGAGGCCAAGTTTAGGAGCACGGGACAGCAGCCCTATTGGCGCCCAGGGAAATTTCCAAGAACACGATGAAAGAATTAACTCCCCATCTGGCAGTTCCTGCTCTCTCCACCATGGCAGCCTGAGCCGTTTCCTCTCAAGACAGCAGCTGCTCTTTGTACCAGAGGAACTTACTTATTTCACCCATCTGAAGGCTAATTACCCGAAAATACCTGAATGCTTCATCTATTTCTCCCCCTTATCTTTTGACTCTCATCTTTCTTACATGTCTTAAAGTATCTGGGCAGAACTAAGCCCGCTGAGCTGGTCCTAGCAAGTCAACCACTGCACTAACACCTGTGCTTAGGATGAAGCTGACCTGGTAATGCTTGTGAATGCACACGTGGGGTAAATGACCTCTGATAGGTACAATCCTATTCAATGAAAAGCACATTCAAAATGCGGGTTAGCAATTAAGACCAAATATTCCTCTGTGTGGAGAGCCATGATGTGTTCATGTCTCATCTCCGCCAAATCCAAAGGAAATCAGGACCTTGCAAGCAAGCCCAAACTCGCCTGTTTTCTGACTTCAGTAAGATTGGTTTACAAAGTAACTCAATTCTAGGAATAATTCATTAGATAAAATACATATGAGCAGTTTATTTTGTAACAGTTTTTGATAATTGCTTTTTTTTTTTTTTTTTTTAAACCACACACATGCAACAAACAGACAGCTAAAACCGGGAAAATACTTACTGATCCCTTTTCCATCACTCTGTTCAACATGACAACACCACGGCTCTTCTGTTCCCAAACCATCTCCCAGAAGTGACCACAAGTATTTGGCAAAGGACCCTGCACAGACAGAAACCCCAGAAATAAGCATTATTTTCTGTTAATGTCAGAGCAATGTTCCTTGGTAAAAGTCACTGCACTAGGCAATAAATTTGGGTAAGTAACAGGCAAACTTCTTATTTTAAACTGTAAACAAGTGGTGCTATAGCTTTAAGTTCCATTTTCCCTCTGTGAATTCACCCACAGAAGGGCAGTAAATCTGTTTCCCACACATAACAGGAAGGGAGAAGTAGCCTCATTTGCGAGAAGAGAACTGGGAGTGAAAAACACTCCGAGAACTTTCTTAGGAAGGGCAAACAAGTAATGGGGAAACGAGTCCTCGGCAACTAACAGCGGAATTAAAACATATGTTTAACTCTTCTGCAACATTTCGCTGCTATACACAACGCTTGAAAAATACTAAATTGAATAAACATTCAAAAGACTAAAAATGCCAGCTCGCTTAATGAGCTAAGCAGGTTTCAGGCATCTTCATGGATACCTCACTGCTTGCTTGGGACTGAACAAAATGACAATTCCTCCTCAAGAGCTAGTTACTCACAGAGCAGATTCCCTTAAAAGCTGGTACTTGTGCCACGTTTCTTTGTTCTTCTCTACTCCAGAATCACTGCCCTGAACTTCTGGCAACACAAAACAACAACTTTGCCTCTTTCCTTCCTATCCAACACCTTTTTCTAAGAGACCAGAGGGTCAGGGTCTTCAGAAAGATGGACTGGATTTAAAGAAAGCCACTGAAATCCATTAAATGCTGATCAAACAGATAACTGAAACAAGTCAGCTGCCCATCTGCCTGCTCCATCATACATGCCTCCCTCTTCAATGATATGATCGGTCTTGTTTGTCCTGTGCAAAGAAAATGAGAGTTGTGTGCACAGAACAGGAAGGAAGAGCTGCTGACTTTTGCTTGGAAATATTAATCCCAGGCTACCTTTATCTAAAGCTTGAAGGAAGATAAAAAATCAGCCAAGATTAGAGACTAGGACTATCTCCAGGGAACTGAGCATTTAGGACAAACAAGAATTCTGGCACAGAATGAGAAGTCAGGGCATCCAAGCATTTGAAAATCTATTACATAAATAGGTGTGGAGTCACAGATTGAGTGAAAAGCAGCAGCTTCTTCCCCCGACACCCTCCTCACAGAAGCCTGTATTCATCTCAAAGGTGACGCATCAGCACTGCCCAACTTGTATCTTTTGGAGACTGGCTTGTTAAAACAAGTTACTTGTAAATGCTAAGAGCACTTTCAGAAGGACACCTAACTACAGAGAGGTGGTGAAGCATATTGCTTATTTGGGCTGTACACCAGGGCTCTTAGAAATGAATCACAAGAAAACTCCTAGTATGTTTTATGTAACTTCTGCCCTATTCAATATAATGTTCTTAATAGCCATTATACTTAAAGTATGCTATTCCAAACAGATTTGGAAATTCTGGAAGTTCCTATGTACAGTTCTTCTGTAAATGTGAAGCCTTCCTATTGAACGAAATTCACTGCTCACAGAATGTACGGGGGGACATGAGGTTGTAACGGTCCTTATGCTGGTTTTGCCCATAGGAGAACGTGATTCATTCCAACCACATCTAAATGTTGACTGTCACATGCCAGTGCATCACAAGCAGATTTCTTCAAGTATGTTAGCTTCTCTTCTACACCAAAATGGAGATGTGCTTCAAGCTGGATATACAGAGGGACCGAGACCCTCTAGGAAAGCCAGTCAGTGCTCACAGAGAGAAAAAAATAGGAATTGTATCCGTAAAATTGTTCTATGCATACAGTATGTTTATATACCCATGTGCATGGTTATATAAACTTAACTAGTTATAAAATGCAGAAAACAAACATGATGGGCAAAAGAAATCTAAAGGAAAATGACTCAAAACACCATCTGATTTCTATTATCCACTGCTAGCATTTACCTGGGTGAGGATGTAGCTCCTTTGGGCCTCTTCCATTTTTATCAAACTTGCATTGATGTAGTCATTGTCACCTGTGTTTAGCTTAATTCGACTGTGATCAACTACAAGTGAATAGAAAACACTGGTTAATGATTATTGCAGCACAACACAATCCATGCACAAGCTCATCAGACATTAGGATCTTCCTAAAGAGCGAAAAGACCTTAATTAAGTACAGAGCAGACGTCTCTTTTCTTCAGATTCACATCCACAAATACAGAATCTACTGCAGACTACTACAGTATAATTCCATGGATGTAATGGCATTCTATGGCACCTATCGCATACCAATATGAACAAAAAAAAAACACTCTTGGATGCCTATCTGTATACGAGGGATATCCATTAAAGGTGTCTAACAGAAATGTCTTACAAATGAGACGTCTCGCAAATAGACTTCAGCTGTAAAAAGAAGTCATTAGAGGACAACAGTCTGTTACAAACAATGGAAAGAAAGTGTACGTACAGGGGCTGACATCTCGGTACCTATTCCTGTTCTTGTTTCTGGGATGTTTGGCCACTTTACATGGAAAGTCACTGGCTTCATGCCTGATGTCCTTTAAAGAAAAAAAAAAGTCTTAAATGTGAATCCTTCTAATATCATAATACCATTAGCTATTTTAAGACAAATATCCAATTAAAATGACATTTTCATACATTAAAGTTTTGGACAGTAAAGTCTTTGGGATTCAAATTAAGAACTACATTTAAATCTATCAGAATACAGCACTAACTTTATTTGCATGTGAAAATATTACTACCTTGCATAATAAAACAGTAAAATATTCAGTAGTAGTACCAGACATAGTAGAATCAGACATTATGACTTTATACATCTGATGAAGCAGAGTTTCTGCCCCAAGGCACTTTCATATAAACTGCTTTATGCAGTTGTTTCCACTCCCAGTGAAACTATCAATTATTTTTCTGAGTCAGAAACAAATTAGAAAGAGTTCATTATGACAGAAAAACCTGTCTATCCCTCGGCGTCAAATACACATGGAGCGATGCGTCAACAGCAGCTTGCTAGTCAGGCCTAGGATCATTTTGATCTGTATCTTATCAGCAAGATGTCATAAACCTGCAAATGGCAAGAGCTATTTGTATCCAACACCCAGGCACAACTAACCACATGTACTGTCTCCAGCACACGTTAAGGGCTTCCTCCAGGCTTTTTCAGATCCATGTTATACCTCAGACACCTGATACAACTTCAGAAGATACAATAAAAAGAATTCCAATGTCCTTGGACTTTATTCTGTTTGTAGAAATAGAGCTTCACACCGTAAAGATACACTGCATAAGTATATCATTCTTAAAACATAAAGTACGAGGAATTTCAAGATGAAGCTGCCAGGTTTCACCAAGACTAATGAAAACTGAAGGAATGGACTTACTATAAAATTATAAAAGATGCTTAGATGGGATAAATCAGTTTAAGAAGTCCTAAGACGAACAGTTTGTAGAAACACATGAAACGGACATTTGAACCTAGCCCAGAGGCCATTCAGAACTATTCATTCAAAACGAATCTTTCAGCTCAGTTCACCTCTCTCCATGAGATGAAGACCTGCTCTGTGAGGTATCCCGATCCGAAGGCAGCCGAGCGCTGCGTCAGGCAGCCTGTCCGTGCAGGGCAGGGATGGCAGCGCGGGCAGGCTGCACCCCAGGGCATCCAGAGCCCCGAGCAGCTCCGCGTTGGGCTGTGACAGCCTTCCCGAGCGCAGGAGAAGGATCTTACAGCACCTCAACATCTAAAACACAGACAGATCGGGAGGTTTTTGTGGTTCTGTCACTTTTGCATAAACAATAATTGACAGTGCTTTGGGCTCACCTTTCTCTACCCCGTTACTGAGATTTGTATCAATTTACGCTGAATATTACATGTCGAGCTAAGGGGTTCTATTTTACATCTACCTGCTCAAAATTAGTACAGTATTCTGAAATGGCTCCTCGCTGAAATAAGCCCTGACATCAGCTGCTAGCTTTTTATAACTTAACACATGTCTGCTAGTATTTCTGCTTATGAAGAATGCAGCCTGGAGAATATGATCTCGGCTGCCACAGTCTAATATCTCAAACATGAAGCAACTAAAATGGCTGTTTTCCTGAATCCATCCCTGACACTAAGTTGGCGATTCTGCATTTTGCAGTGTTCTTTTTTTTTTTTTTCTTTTTCTCTCTTCTGTACTCATTGTACAGGATTAACAAAAACAAGGAACTAGGAAAAATGGTTTTCTAGCCCTCTAACCACATTTCCCATAGAGCCTACTTTTTTTTTTTTTTTAAAAGTGCAAAGAAACCTCTCAGGGTCCATTTGAAAAGAAAATAGCAAAATGCAACCCAAAACATAAATCCTTAGGCTCTTTTTTCCCTGTTAAATTGGGATTAAGATGGCTATTGTTAGGTTATTTTAGGGGGGGAACCAAAGGGTTGGCTAGCACCCCTCTATCCAAATACTAGATTTTTTTTTTCTTTAAGATGCTAAGATGCCTAAAGGTACAGAAAGAATAAATGTGTTGAAGAAGATGCTAAGATCACTTCTAGGATACTAAGCTGACTGGAGTGGAAATCGGATGGTTTTCAACACAAGATTATTGGTGAGAAACACTCCAGGGACAAGTTCTGTAGAAGTGTCTTCTTGTTGCAGGCTTTCTTGTATGTTCCTCTGAAGCTTCTGTTATCCCTTAGTGCAAATGTCAGCATTATCAAACGAGAAAACTACTGATGTGGATGGTGAGGCAGTTTCAAAATACATCACTAACACCACAGCGTCCCCCTGCTAGAGAAAGCAGCCTCATCCCAGGCACAGAAACGTTACGGCTTGAGTGACGTGAAGCCAGCGACGCTGCAAGAACTGAAGGTAGCCGATGAATACAGGGTTATTGAACACCTTGAATCACCCTTGTAGTCACACTGCAAAGACACCGTTATTCAAAAATGAAGCATGGCACTGCATTTACAAAGCCATGTAATACAAAGCTTCAAAGAGGAAGAGCTAAAACTTCAGTCAGTTTTCCAGAGTCAAATGCTTCTGGTTTTGAGCATGAGTCATTCCAAGCCACTCATCCCCTGGTTTTCAGTCCTGCACATGGTGCAAACAGCCCCAGTAACGTCAAGGGTGGAAAGAGGAAGTCTGCTGAAGTGCTGTCCTTCAAACAGGAGATTCTTGTTGCTGTTAAGCTGCAGCAGTGACTGGCATGAGAAGTTCTTCAGTGCTTTTCAGGTGGTTGCTCTCCATTCCACAGCAATATCCCATTTCCTGTTGCAAATACAGGACACACAATGCGAGGGTAGGTGGCTGTGCTGTTCAGTCAGACATGGGTCCTCTGAACGCATCCTTGCTCTGCAGAGTCCTGGAGATGTTCAGCATGAAGAGGTGTTCATGGTGACTCAGTCCCTTGTCCCAAAGCCTCTGCACCAGATTTCCTGACCCTTCTCCCAGCCTTAGTAATTCACTCCAGAGTCCACAGCCCTTTGATTTCGTTCCTCCCCGCCTTCAAAATTCCCCCCGTTCAGTCTCTTAACCCTTAGCTACTCTAGAGCTCTATATCTGTTAACTGCTCCTTCACCCAATCAGTACTTCTTTATTTTTATTTTAGTCTTCCACTTTTTGCATTTGAGGTAGCAAAGTTAAATGAAAGCTGCTTTTTCTCAGATGTCTTTACAACTGATTTTAGAATGGAAAAAAGTTAGTACAATTATTTGAAGTAGCAAATATCTGTGCAGAGGATCATAAGAAAAACAAGTAGTAGTGAGGAGTCCAAAACAAGCAGCTACTGGACACACACAGGGAAAGGTCTTCAGATTCTGTTTGCCAGGTAGAACATTCAGTCACTGAGCGACAGTGAACTGTCTCCTTCTCTACAAAAGGCCTTTGCTAACATACAAAATCTACCAAAACCAACTTTTCATTCAACTCACTTGGACAAAGAAGACTGGACTTCTTGCACCGTAAGAAACTTGATATCAGGGCATTTGGCTGGAGATGAGAAATGAGGATGTAACTTGTAGGTAACAAGAAACGCAATGTGCATCCAAATGCCTGACAGATGGACGGACAATTTCATCATGTAACAATAACCATAACAATGAGCTTCAGAATTTCCACCAAATGAACTAAATACATGCCAATTTTAAACCTCTTTTCAGCATTTGATATAGCCTCTCGGTTTTGTTTTCAAGGAAAATGACAATATTGATTTGCTAATTAATATGTCTCCAAAGAGCCGGTGGGCTGGCGTGCTGAGCCTCTTCCAGAGGTCAAGCTGCAAGACTCAGGCTCCTCTGGGCCTGCCTTCTTCTCCACATCCATCAAGTATCACTGACTATTTCTCACCATCAACCCATTTTAACACATCTGCGTGTAAAAAATTAAGAATTCTGAGGGTTAATCCTGCGGTACCCAATTGTACCTGCTCTACCATGGTGTTTAACTGGATACTGTAACCAAACTGTTCTCACAGCACAGGTGTGCACTTGAATACGGGAGAGGGCCACACACTCGTGGCATTTATCAATCTCAATAGCGTTATATTCTATATACGTATATATTACATGTTGTCAAAAGGAAAACATTTCTGTAGCACAAATCATTGGAATGGCACAGAATTCACTTGCTTGGGTTCTCATATTGGCTCAGTGTTATCATCTGCAATTAGTAAAGACCGATTTTTTACTTTTTTATTTTCAGGGTTGATGGAGAGCGGTGGCAATTAGAGATTGATTCTTCAAGCTGAGCATTGTGTGAAACTCTAATATTTGGTTAAAAAATTACATGAACCTTCTCAAATTTCAGCAAGTTCAAAATACAGTTTGTCCTTGCAATTTATGACCCATAACAGAAGAAGTTCACAGGAGCTGGCAGGAACACTTGGCTTCTGGTGTTTTGTAGCAACACACGCACTGCCAAAACAGGAAACAACTGAATGGAGGAGCAGTGTAAGAAAATAATCCAGGTTCTCCCCTCATTTTCATGTCCCTCAATTTTTTCCCCAGCAGTTCAATCCAGTCCAGAAATAAATCTGAGATGTTCTGGAAGGATAGAGACTTTTGAGAAGCCCAAATGGTTTTTTTTTTTAACTGCTGTTTTTCAAAGGAAAAGCTCTGCTATCTTTGTCATCAAAGTCAGTGCCAGGAATGAACGCTTAATAAGACTGTGCTTTGTTACTAAAGAGGCTTTAAGCAAGTTACTCATCTTCTATAAGAAAAATAATCATGGAGATAAGATCCAGATCTTGATTTTCCCAAACATTAGGGGTCTCCAGATAAAAAAAAAAAAAATTAACTTCATCTTCAATAGCCTGATGCATCGAAAAGCCCAGATATCTACCCAGCTCCTGAAGGAATTAAGTCCTTGCAAATCCAGACTTTAATCTGTTTGCAATGTGGGTTTGTATAGTTTAAAAAATTATCTTTGCCAATCTGTATGACTTTCCCAGCTTTGTAAACAGACAAGACTCTAAACAGAGTCCTTCTTTCCAAATTAGCTAGGATTTTCATCCTGACATCTTGCAAGCCACTAGCAGCATCATGACTTTTACAGGACAACTACCCAAAAAGAAAA